ATGGTGCCGAAAAACACGTTCATGTCCGTATCATGTGTTCAATCGCCTCGATCCCACCCCTTAACTTAGGGACTGTGCAATAAGTATCAGGAGGGGCGGGGGCTGAAAAACTAGAGTTATCTAGCAAAAACTTAGACAGTACCCCCCCTCCAAAACAAAAAAAATTAGTTCTAACCCCCCTCTGTTATGTTAAAAATAACGTCGCACCCCCCCTCTCACCAACCACCCACCCACCCACACACACCCACCCCTCACCGCCACCAACTGGACTGAGCTGCCATCACAGCTTCAATAATGACAAACGTTATTATGTAACATCTAGTGTCGAGAAGGATGTTGATCGCTTGATTGAAGATTTAGACAAAGCATTTGCTAAGTACCGGGGTGCTTACCAAATTGGCTCAAAACCTAAAACTTCTGAAGCTAGAAAGAGAAAGGAGCAGAGAAAAAAATCAAAGAACAGGATATTGAACGCTTCAAATAACAGGCGAAAAAGAGCTTGCATTATATTTAGATCCTTGGGAGGAGAGCCTGTTGAACTTTGTTATGAGCCAGATATACATGGAATTCAGCAAATCGATTCACTCGATGAAGAAACATTAATTACTTTTATTCACATCAAAAACCGACAAAGCTTGTCTACGAGATCTGTTTGATTCCCATTGTTTTACGAGGGAAGCTGAAAAACAAGTTCATGATTTTTGCTTTACATAGGATCAGCTCAATTAATTAGAAGACGGGTTAAAATTGATCAGTTGTGAATTTACTTTTCATTTTGATGGAATATTTTCAATAATCGTTTAACAGCTGTTCGTATTGATATTTGTTACAGTCTATCATGATGCCTGTATTGAGAATCTTTTATTGCGTTTAATTTTATTTACATTTCGAATAAAACTTAAGGCCCCCACCGTCAAATGAGTGATTTAACTTTGAGCTCCCTACCTTGGCAGCAATTTTATGTAATGCCCCCCCTCTAGTTTTTCAACCCCTCCCCCCTCCTGATAATTATTGCACAGTCCCTTACGTCAGGAGGAAAAAAGGGAAATCGAATCTTAAATATACTCGTACGCAAAAGGACCTTTCTGTCTTATTAATGTTTCTTTTATACAGTATATATAGTATACATATACAGTAGGTTAATAGTAGGTTACAAATAGGTTACAGTAGGTTACAAATATGCAAACTTTGTTTAGCTGATTCGTTTCGGATCGGAGAACGATTTTTTAGCATACAACTGGTGCATATAATTAGATGTAAATATTATAAATCACAAAGGAGCAACTCTACAAGGTGTTTCAAAAGTTTGTTGCAATTTTTTCTTCGCTTAAATTTCAATGATTATTAAAAATACAGTTTCTAAAACTTAAGTAGGTTATTTATTATTCATTTAACAATGAATGTCTTAAATATTAGTGACCAAAGTGTCTTCCTTTATGTTTTCTGACATTTTCTAAGTGGTGAGGTAGAGAATGCACGAGCTCTCAAAGTGTGTCTAAGAAACACTTTTTTCAGGCTAAGCGTAGTCAATGTCTTAGCTCGTCAGCTGTTTTGGGGGCTGAATCTTTTTATGCTGTCTTCTCATCCAGAAGGTCTCTAGAGGGTTCACATCACGTGAGTTTGCCAGCCGGTCGCCCTTTGCTATAAAGTCTGCAAATCCTTCTGACACCTTGTCCGCATTTGCGCCGCCGTTTTCTTTTCAAGGCTTTCCAACCTTTGTTGCTCATATATCTTGACACTGTTATGCTCGAAACTTTGATATTGTAAAGTTGAATTTTTTTCCTTTTCTGTCTTGAAGAATTATTACGCATATACTTACAGTTTTTTCGATAACATTTCTCACACATTTAAAAAACAAGGGCCATCCACCCCTTGGTTTGTCTTCTAAAGTCTTTACTTTTGACCACTTGTTCACTTATATAGTTCAGGCTTTTTACCAATTTCTTTGACTGAATGGCCAGAAAACAGTAAAAACAGATGCCTGAGCTCTAGTAGTAGAGAAAATAAAAGGGAGTCGCAAAAAAAAACGAAAATAGAAAACCTACAAAATGGGCAGGAAAAATATGGCGGGAAAAATCTCGAACACGTGCCCATCTGAGGCAAAACTTCAAAAATAATACAATTTCTTCAGATCTTAGTTTAAAATTGCTTTGAAAGGTTATTTAGATAAATTTCTTACCTGAATCAGTGTACATTTGCCTAAAAGAAGCATTAAATGCTTTGCGCAAATACCGTCGGAACGAACTTTTGAAACACCCAGTAAATTCGTTAAAGATCAGTGAAATGTCTCTCATGATTTTCTTATGCATGCATGTTGTTTGTCGGCAAGCTCATTTGGTTAAAAAAGCGCTCTTCTAGGTATAATCATCCTCATATTCTTTGCATGTGTTCTAAGTCATTATAGAGTGATGACAGGCTACTATGTGACATTGAAATATCAGGCAAGACACGGAACTATTGCCTGAAAAGTGTTTGCAACTTAAAAGTGAGTCGATTCTTCTTAATCTTGCTTTGCAAACCACATAATTGAACTTGAGGCACTTATTCAATTGAGTTATTTTTATGCACAACTATAAATCTGCTGACCACAGCTTTTCCTTTGATGATCATAACTTTAAGGCACAGAAAATAACATAATAAAAACATACAGTTTCAGTACAATATCATCAGAATTGACTCTCAGCACTTACGCGCGTGAACTTCCTGTTTACCCAACAGCCGTCACGTGAGCCATCTGACCAAGTAGGATCCTTTGAAAGGTATGCAAGCAAGGATAGTGACGTAATCGATGAAGACAATAGAGCATCAACCAAGTGGCCAGGCCCCAGTTGCGCTGAACGCAGTGGTGCAATTGTGTCATAAAACAGTTCACATACTGCGCTAGAAAATGCTACTGTAGTAAAAATGTAAAAACTTTGCTTTCTTGATGTAATAAAGTTGCTGATCATTTACTCGGTTTTCCGCGTTGGCTCTCTTTTGGTTGACTTTCTTCGCCCTTTGTCTATCGGAGCTATCCTATACAACATGGTTACGTACAATTAAAACACGCAAACGCCAAATTTGGACTTCGAGGCCAATAAAAAGAGGAGAAAGGTTTGGGTAACGGAAAAGGAGAGCACATCTTAGTATGTGTCATCGTATGTTGGGAGTTATTGCGTGCATGTTGGCAGTGGTGTGCAAACGGATGCAACAACTCCCAACAATGTTGGGACCTGCAGCGCATCGTGGGAAGGATACTACCCATAAGTCTTTGTAAACCATGCGTAATGAGCGTGCGCGGCCCCAACAATGTTGGAAGAGCTGTGCAAACGGATCCAACATTGTTGCGCTACGCTTCGGCGATCACGAAACAAAAGAAATGTTGGCAGTTGTTGGCTGAAAAGTTTGAATGGTTTCAAACTTTGCGCAACAACACGCAACAAAATCCAACCACATGCAACAGGGTGTGCAAACGGACGCAACATGTAACATACAACAATGTTGGGAGTTGTTGGCCAGCAATGTTGCGTCCGTTTGCACGGGGCTTAAGAATCCCAACTGGCCGGAGGCAAACCAGTTGGCTATTTACAGTCATGGCCGACGAATTGAACTCGCCCGGACTACAGTCAACTCCCGCCTTGCGGACACCTCGCCATTACGGACACCCCGCTATTACGGACAGCAGCAAAATCTCCGGCGAAAGTGAGACGTTTGACTGAAATAAACTCCCGCTATTACGGACTCTCGCTACTACGGACTTACAGACACTTTATTCGGTCCCAACGTCACAATTTTATTGTTTTCTCTCTCGTTATAGCGGACACCGAGCAGCATCTTGGAATATTTGCACACATATCAAGTCTATTTTTTCTGCTTTTTGAGACTGTCTTTGTCTTTTTTGGTCGATTTCCGCTTCTTCTGTCCATCAATCAAAATTCCTTCATCTTTTTCTCTTAAGGTCCTCTTTGCAGTCTCGCTGCCATGAATAAGTTCGTCCAGTCTGTCCAAATATTTCCTTCGGCCGTAAATCTTATAAATAACTGGAAGTTCCAGTCCCAAGCCAGATCCTCGATTGATCCGTTTTCCACAGATTTCTGCTGTTGCCTTGTGGTTAGCCCTTTTATAAAAAGACGACACAATTCTCGATAAAGCTAATGGGATATGGCCAACAATGCGTCCAGTATCTTCTAGAATAGCAACAGCATGCGGATCTTTTGCATTTTCTGGTTCCCGCTGTAAAGTGAGCGTGCTACCAATAACAGGCTCGAAATTGAGGACCGGCCATAACCGGGTAAAGTAAATAAAAATAGCACAAAATGAGTTTGGTTTCCCTGCTAGCAGAGGTCTCTCACGTGAAATATTTTTAACATGTTTCTAAAAAGCATACTGTATGTAAAATCTTTTGTGCAACTGATACATCCGGTACATGTCAAGTTTACACGTGGTCTTTTGCAGTAAGCGTGTGTTGACCAGGCTGTGTTCTACTGGAGACGCAGACACCACTGAATCGCGCCAAAAGATGAAACAAAGCGGAAAGCAAGGAACGAATTACCTTTAGAAAAACGTTTTCAAATCGTAGAGGAATACAAAAATAGCAAAGGATTGACAGGAGAACGCAAACTTGCTGAGAAATTCGGTTGTGGAAAAACACAAGTAAGTAACATTCTGAAAAAGAAGACTCTTGTAAGAGAGGAGTACGAAAGATGATTTTCCAGTGCGAAGAAGCGTAACCGTACTTCACAATACTCGGACGTGAATGATGCTGTATGGGAATGGTTCAAGATCAGAAGAAAACCGAACAACGCACTCCAGTCGATGGTCCTATTATCCAGGAGTTTGCAATGAAAGCAGCAGAGAAACTTGGCTACCCTGAGTTCAAGGCGTCAGGCGGCTGGCTTACGAGACTTAAAGAGCGCAACAACCTTTCGCAACACAAACTCTGTGGTGAATCTGCTGATGTGCCAGAGGCTACAATGTACTCTTGGAAAGAGCGTCTTGGGTCTATTATCCCTGGATATGCGATGCAAGACATCTGGAACATGGATGAAACTGGCTGCTTTTACCGCGCACTTCCGGATAAGAGCCTTTCGGAGAAAGCAAAGAAATGCAAAGGAGGCAAGAAGTCAAAAGAGCGGTTAACTGTTGCTTTCTTCGTTTCTGCTACTGGGGAAAGGAGAAAACCAGTTGTAATCGGAAAGTATGCGAATCCAAGGTGCCTGAAGAATTTATAGCCTGCAGTGCAGGCGTTTTCTTTGAGAGCGCAGTTTGCTCGCGAAAGCGCCATGTTGAAACTTCCCGAAGAGAGGAGGAGATGGGGCGAGTCAAAGGGAGCGGGGAGAGAGAAGAGAAAACGCCGTATTTTTTTTTCTCCCCTCCCCCTCCCCCTTTTCCTTCTTTCGCCCTCGCACCTACCGTAAGGATTACTATTTCTACTCTCCCCAATCTCCCACTGTCATAAAATCAAAGATGGCGGCTACAACAATATTTTTAATTACGAACACGAACAAGGTTTCGCCCACCCAAAATACGCCTGCACTGCAGGCTAAAGAATATAAACAAAGATGATCTTCCTTGTCAGTATTTGAATCAACAGAAGGCTTGGATTACATCTGATATCCTTCACAAGCTCCTCAGCCAGTTAAACAGCCCTTTCAAGGCCCAGAATCGATCAATACTTTTATTCATTGACTCTGCTGGATGTCACCCCTATGATCTCAAGGGACGCTATTCCAATATTAAACTTGTGTTTTTCCTGTAAACTGCACGTCCAAGCTGCAACCTTTAGATCTCGGAATAATCCAGAACTTTAAAGTCCATTACAGAAAGTTGCTACTTCGTCATATTATTACAATGACCACAGACCACGACAGTGCAGGCCATAAGGTGGATGGGGACTGCTTGGTCTAAGGTCGAGAACGATACCATTATATCAAATGTTTTGCAGCAGCTGGAATTTCCAGCACTTTCTCAGAAGCAGCTACCGTCAGTACTGTGACAGGAGAGGAGGATCCCTTTGCTGATCTTGATATCTCGGCCGATGAGGAACTAGAGAATCTCGTCCAACAGGTTGCACCTGGAAGTGGAATCAGTACTTACCTGGAGTCCGATAACGAACTTCCAACCTGTTACAATCTTCTTACCGAACACCAGCTGCTGGAGGCCATCGGTACTTCTCACGATGTCATGGAAATAGAGAGTGACGACGAGAGTGAAATGGAAAAAGAAGATAACCCAGGTGAAGGCGAACGCTCAAACGAAACAACCACTTTGAAAAGTTTCAAGGACGTTCTGGACAGTGTCCAAAACATTTCTGCTTTTTTGATTCATAGAGGGGAGTTTAAGGTTGCTAATGAATTTAGTCTCCTTGTCGACAAAGTGGGGGAAGTTGCAATTCAAAGGAGAAGTACACAGAGCCGATTGGAACGATATTTTAAGGCAATGTGATAGCTGATGCAATCAATAGCTGATGTTCAGGTTTTTCCTTGAAAATAATTTATTTCAGAAATGTTGATTACTGTACTTCAGTACAGTAGGAAACCAAAACGATGCATGTGTGCACATTACTGCAACAACGATGATTGTTTTTTACGTACTATGTACACAAAGGGTACGTAACTCCTGTTCTGTTAAGTTCTGTTCTGTTTGTAAATAAAGTTCTGACGCTCTTTACTTGCGACAACGGGTCTGAAAAAGGTACTGGAGTTAATGAAAATGAACACACATGTGACCCCCTTCTGTAAATATGGTTTAAAATAAAAATTTTCTCGTACCTCGCTATTACGGACTTTCGCTATTACGGACACCAAATCGCGGTCCCGAGGGTGTCAGCTATAACGGGAGTTGACTGTACCGTAAACAAATTCAGCTCTCTGAGCGGTCACGAGAGCGGGACTTGAACTCTGGGCCTCTCCGAATCGCGTTCTAACCGCTCGGCAAAGCAAAAGAATAAGATTAATATTTAAAAGTAAAAAGTCTGAAATAGCACTTATGCCCGGGTTTGCACTTAACGGCGAACGGAAAATCCCTCCAATCACTCAAAACACGGCCACTTCTGACAATATTCCGTAGGTAAGGTAATACAGTTCTTATTTAGCATCGATCCATGTACAGTGATATATCGCAACACATGAAGCAAATTTATTAACTTTTATTTTATAGCCAGCCCTGTTCCAGGCGTTCAGAACGTGGACTGCAGAGACTGCAGTCCCCTATTTTGCCGGAAAAAACGGAAAAACGTCGATAATGTCTATAGCTCCTGCCGTCATCGCGTTGTGGTCGGCCATCTTGGTTTAAAATATAAGGGGCGTTGGGTGGCAACCGAAATGGATGAGAACTGACCACATGTTATGATGAGTCATTTCAATTTCCGTTCGTTTGTGTTAGTTAATTTTCTCACGTGCAACAAAAATGGTAGTACTCTTTCGTTATCATTTAAAGAAAAAATGAACAAACTTGTCTATCTAGCACTCAAAATGACCCCGACAGTCTGTTCTGCATTTATCTCGAATTTGTCACATCTCTAGATTTGCTCTTAAGAGCAGATGGAGCGAGACTAGGGTCGGTTAGGGTCGGTAGGACCCAAGCACTACTGACTGGGCACACCTAAAGATGTTATTGGCTTGCATTCCTTGGAACTGTGCTTTTTTCAAAGATGACATTGAATACAACTGGTCTTGCTGGAAAGATCTTTTATTTACGGCTATGGATGAATGCATTCCCGTGCGTCGGGGCAAGAAAAAATGTAATGCACCTTGGATAACAAAGGATCTCATTAGGTTGTGCAGAAAAAAGAAATTGTTGTACAACAAAGCGCGAAAAAGCAGCAATCCAGCCCTTTGGGAGAAGTACAGAAAACTGAACAATGTCGTGAAAAGAGAATGTAACTTAGCTCGATGGACGTATATCAACAATATGGCCTCTGATATTGCAGTTTCTGGTAATTCCAAGCCTTTCTGGAATTATATTAAAAGCAAACGTAACGGTACGAATACTCTGGTATCTTTAAAGGTTGGTGACAAAGAACTGATTGACGATGAGAGTATTGCTAGTAGTTTTAATTCCTATTTTTCATCTGTTTTTACCTCTGAGGACTTCACCAACTTGCCTTCTTTAGAGCCTTTAGTTTGTGAGAAACTTAATTATATTTCCTGTACTACTGAGGAAATTTTAAAGCATCTTAAGTCTCTTAAAACGAACAAGTCCCCGGGTCCAGATAGAATTTCACCAGTAATTTTAAAATCATGTGCGTTCGAATTGGCGCCCTCGATCTCATTTCTGGTCAACAAATCTTTCCTGCTGGGCCATTTGCCCGAAGATTGGAGATCAGCTGACATTGTCCCACTTCATAAGAAAGGTTCTAAACACTTGAGGGAGAATTATCGTCCAATTTCGCTTACATCCATGATATGCAAAATCAGCGAAAAAATTGTACGCGATAGGTTAACGTCATTTTGGCAAGACCAAAACGTGATAAACAAAAACCAATTTGGTTTTTTGCAGGGTAGGTCTACTGTGACCCAATTACTCTCTACTTTTCATGACTTTGCCAGATCTAGGAATTCATCTGTAGCAACAGATGTTGTATTTCTTGATCTCGCAAAGGCTTTTGATAGTGTTCCTCATGAGCGTCTACTCATAAAGTTATATAGCCTCGGTATTGAGAGCAAACTTCTTAACTGGTTGAGGCATTTCCTCACGTGTAGAAAGCAACGAGTTGTTGTAAGAGGGACTTTTTCTGATTGGGCACCTGTGATATCTGGTACCCCACAGGGAACTATTCTTGGTCCAATTTTATTCCTATCATATATAAATGATATCGTTGATAGTGTCTCTTCAAAAATTAAATTATTTGCGGATGACACAAAGATTTACAGAGAGCTTCGCAACCCTAGTCTCGATGAACAATACCTTCAAACTGATTTGAATAATCTTGGTAAATGGGCGAAAAAATGGCAACTTCGTTTCAATGAGGAACAGTGTGAAGCAATGCGAATAACGCATTCTCGTGACAAATCGACTACGAATTATAAACTAGGTACGGCCTTAAAAGATGTCAAGAGCTTTAAAGATCTTGGAATTATTATATCAAAAGATCTTACTTGGAGTGAACATATTAGTACTATGGTGAATAAGGCGAACCAAGTCCTAGGGCTAATAAGACGGTTTGTTGGAACAGCTAATGCAACAACTTTTTCATTGGTTTACAAAACATTGGTCAGAGTATGCTGCTCCAGTCTGGAACCCATATCTTGTCAAAGACATTCATGCAATAGAGAGCGTGCAAAGACGCGCGTCAAGATTAGCTCTTAGGCAAAAAAGAGGTGATATGTCTTATGAAGAGCGTTGTGACACGTTACATTGGCCATCTTTGTCCAGTCGTAGGACATATTCCTCTCTTGTTGAATGTTATAAGATCGTGTTTGGCTTATCACACTTGGATTTTGAGGAATTCTTTCAATTCGCAAAAGTCAAATCCACTAGGGCAAATCACTCGTATAAGCTGTATTGTAAATTATCTAGAATCAACTGTTTTAAATTTTCTTTTTTTAACAATGTAATTAGTTATTGGAACAATTTACCTAGTAATGTTGTTGAAGCCGGTACCCTTGAACTTTTTAAATGTAAACTCAAATCCTTTTTAAAGTTGTAATTTTTATTGTTTGTTTGTTGTTTTTAGGAGAGTTTTATTCATAGGGTTAACCTCTAGACTCTCCCTTTCAAATTTATGTAGTTATATATGAGTTTGAATAAACATGTATGTTATGTTATGTTATGTTATGTTATGTTATGTTATGTTATGTTATGTTATGTTATGTTATGTTATGTTATGTTAAGCTTGGTTCCCATTAGCCACATAATGATCATAATCATAAACATAAACATAATCATAATCATAATCATAAACTTGTTATGATCTAGTGGGAACAAACACCACGTGCAGGCCGTGGAAATTAAAGTCTTTTTCAGTGTGATGCAGTTTAAAAATGGCTGCCATACAAACATGCGCATTAATTACAGTAATGATGGGCTTCCTCGCATCGACTACATTTAATCAGGAGTTTTTTCGCCATCGCATTATCATAATACACTGTGTATTAATTCTTTTGCTTCTTGAATCACGACGACTTCTCCAAAGAGAAAACAGGGGAAATCAAAGGCGCTTCTGGGTGAGACCAATATTCACGGCAAGGAAAACATACGGATGCTATCATACTCTTGTTCAAGAACTCCGCCTTGGGGATCGAGAATGGTACTTCAAATTTATAAGAATGTCTCCTGAGCGGTTTGAACACTTACTTAGCCTGGTTGCTCCACGTATATCCAAACAGAAAACGAAGCTTCGAGAGCCTATTGGACCGGCAGAGCGCCTTTGTATTACTCTACGATACCTTGCTTCGGGAGATTCTCAGCAAACACAGTCGTTTCATTTTCGCGTTGGCAAGGCAACCGTATCGAAAATAATTGCAGAAACTTGCAATGCAATATGGCTTTGCTTAAAGGAGGATTATCTTAAGCCTCCTCGAACAAGAGAACAGTGGAAAAGAATCGCCACTGAGTTTGAACAGCTGTGGGGATTCCCGCACTGCCTGGGAGCAGGCGATGGCAAGCATGTGGTTATTGATTGCCCTAAGAAAGGCGGATCCACTTACTTTAACTACAAAGGGACCTTCAGTATTATACTCTAAGCCTACTGTGATGCCAGGTACCAATTTACCTTAGTGGATATCGGCCAATTTGGTAGTCAAAACGATTCTGGTACCTACAATGATTCTCTTATCAGTTCAGCCCTTGAAAACAATACCCTAAATCTACCACCTGCTGAAGATCTTGATGGATGTACTCTTAAACCTCTGCCATATGTTTTTGTTGTCGATGAAGGTTTGCCGCTAACGTCTTTCCAAATGCGGCCTTGGCCAGGAAGAAATCTTTCAGAGGACCACGCAATATTTAATTATCGTCTATCAAGAGCAAGGCGTATAATAGAAAACTGTTTTGGTATTCTAGCAGCAAGGTGGAGAGTTTTTCGCCGCCCAATTCGCGCGAGCGTTTATCTGGTTCAGAAGATAATAGAAGCCGCTGTTTGTCTTCACAACTACCTCCGCCTCACAGATAACGCCATGTACTGCCCACAGGGATTTGTTGACTGTGAAGACAGTAGCGAACGCCTTCAGCAAGGGGAATGGAGAAATATTGTCGCAGGAGACGTGGGTGCATTTCGAACAATGGAAACCCCTCGAGGACGACCTCAGATCGATGCAGCCCTCACCAGACAAGCCTGAACAAGCTACTTCCTAACCGACCAAGGCAGTCTTCCCTGGCAGTGGCAGCATGTTAGAAGTACTGGACCTTTTCCGACACAATGAATGACTCAGATTCTCGTCAAATATCTTAGATAAGAAACTGGAGGGTGATTCAGGTCACATTTCAAACTTTGATGTCAGTTTAGGATAGTAGTTGTGTTAAAAGTTTCAATGTAATATGGTTGACTTGTGGCCAACTGATACACATCCTCACGTTTAGCAAAGTGATGAAACTCATTTGAGTTAAAAGTTTTTGCTTTATTTAGGTGAACGTTAACAAATGTTTAAATTTTTACAAAAGAAAGGGAAAAAAAACCAAATGAATTTATTTGAATGATGAGTCTCTTCCTTAGTTGAGATAGCGAATCAGTAGAAAAGCATATTAAATGAAATATTTGAGTTACTTGTTTGAAGTCTGGAAGAAATATTTTTTGAAATATTCGCAACAAACATAAACTAAACGTGAAGTAACTACTTATTAACATAAACACAATTTTCAGTTCTTGTTTTCTCATAGTATGGCTTGCCTGACTTATCTAACGTGTTCGAAAATTGTTGCAAATTAATATGCAGGTAACACTGTTTTGTTGTCATGAAACTCAACGATGGCAGCATTTCTCCTGCTCAAAAACGTTAACCTATTTGGTATCCACCACTAAAATCCGGCATAAAAGTAGGATGCTGTTGGACAGATGCAAATGATCCCTCATCTACCATCATAGCTTGAAAGATCACATTATTAATGTGATATTTTGCCCTTGCTTTTTGTGCGGGATTCATACATTTTAACTGCGAGGCTACAAACACACCAAACAAATCATCTTCATCCTAATGTTTCTTTCCAGATTGTGGTTGCTGCCGCATACTGTCGCACATACTTTTTAAGCTCTCTCCCACAACTTTGATCATTTCAAATTGCTGCTGCTCTGCTTGTTCCTGCTTGTTCCTGCTTGTTCCTGCGTGTTTCTTTTGTCTGTCGGGACTGCTTCGATGAAGACTGTGCACTTTTTTCTTTCCGTATTCCTTGCCTCATGCTATCTTGGTCTGTAGTACTTTCACTTTCTTCGTCTTCACTTGGAATAACTGAACTTAGATCCATGTCCGCCACCGTGTCATCACTGATTGCATCATTCTCGTTTACGTCTTCTTCACTACCTTCTTGCGCCGATGATCCTTCCACGGGCATCAAATTGCTTTTCGTTGCTCTAGGTGAAATATACTTATCTAAGAAGTGCAAGTAGGGAAATGTATCACTTGTCTCACGAAGAGCATCGAGCACTTCTGCAGAGGACGTTCCCGATCTTTTGGCTTTTTTAACCCGTTTCTTTTCCCTGGTGTACCGGGCTCTAAGATTTTCGAACTTCTGCTTTGCAACATCACCTTACGTAAAAATAAGCAAAGAATATAATCAAGCTAAGCTTAAGTTAGGCTAACAACGGTCGATGTTTCTCTTTGCCGTATAAATATGTAAGTTCATTACGTACCTGTCTCCAAATCCATTTTTTCTGCTACTTCATTCCAAGCATTTTTCTTTTTGTTACGATCTTTAAAATCTGTCAGCGATTTATTGTACAATATTGGAAAACTTTCGACGAGGCTTGCAAGACGTTCTTCGAAGTTGGACGCCATATTGGAATAGCATGAACGGGACGTTACTGGAACTAGGACGCTCATTGGCCAAAATACAATGAAAGAAGATATATCATTATGATTATGACTATGAGCGCTAGGTTTCACGTTTCCACTACGACATAGGCATAATAACAAACATAATCATAATCATAAGAAAATGATCGATCATTTTCTTATGATTATGATTATGTCAATCATAAGCATCTTTATGATTATGTTTTTTTGGCGTTTCCACTCCGACATAAGCGACATAAACACTCTTATGACTATGATTATGATCGTTATGTCGCTAGTGGGAACCAGCCCTTATGTTATGTTATGTTGTATTGTATTTGGTTACGGTTTACCTAGACTTGAAATGTCTGATCGCGTGCTCTTAGTTTCTAAGTCACCATATGATTACCGTACCTTGCGTTTAGACGTCTCCTAACAAGGAAATGTGACAAAGAAGCAAAAGGGAATGAAACACATCTCTGCACGCAGGCTACAATCGATCGAACTTCCGCATACTGAAACTTTCACCAACTTTGCGGATTTTTCAACGGACCGCAAAAAATAATCGAGGAAGCGTTGAACCGGTTCATCGTTTACATTGCTAATTTCAATCATTACCTACAAAACTATATATAACGACTGCAGGTTGTACTCGAACTCGTTGACTAAGTACAGTGTGGGAACTAATATAGCCATGAAACGTTGGCTCGCATGGAAAGGATTCGAAGGGTATATGACTGAACGCCGAAAAGTTTGCTACGGACCAATCAGTCCCAATGCCGATGAAATCCACATTCGCGAATGGATATCTCCGGCTGCTTGACATTGAAGTCATCTGGAACCCTGAACTACTTTCGTCGTATGGAAGTGCGCTGATTGGCTGTAATTTAAATTGGAAATTTAGGGCGCGCTTGGCTGGGCTTTCATTGTGACCGGAGTGTAAATCTACTAGGTTTTCCGTTCCTTGAACGACTATCCTGCTCTACTCTCTCGCCGAAGATCCTTAGGCATCAACCTTGTTAAACTAAAGAAAATGATATGTGGCAAGGAGTTTTGGCTGAGTCTGGCGTGTTTTGTCATCGGAGGAATACTCGCAGTCATATTGACAAAAATGTTAGAGAGGAAAAGAGATCAGAATAACGAAGAACAGGGTGAAAGGCGAATTCTCATTCCTGTACAAGAGGTTGGTGACGGCGAAAGAGAAGTGGAAAGAGTTCTACCGGCCCTTACAACCAACATCAGTACAAAGTTTCCACAAGAACAAGATGAATTTTAAGGTGCTGGTGAGAACTATTATCGTTTTTATTTCTTTATTAATATATATATATACTTTTTATGAAAACAGTAGCTTTGTGGCGACAAAGTGATCAGTCATGCAGAATACAGCAAAAATATTTGCATTCTATCATGTGACATTCCATTCAGTATTTTAACATTTTTTTCTGCGACAAAAGCCAACGGGAGAGTAAAACAAATTATTGATTGCGGCCAGATGCTTCGCGGCTATCGGCCGAAACAAAATTAAAAGTAATACTAAATCACAGCACGGAAAGATAGCATAAATAAAATAATATATTCAGCATACACTCTTGCACTCTGGAAGAGTGTAGCAAATTCTTTCCAGTACAAATTCATCATATAAACATCGTGATCCTCGAACCGAAGCGAAAGACAATGCTTAAACTGCATCGCATCAGAGACCTCGAAGAGTTAAGTTGTGTCCTGATGATAATCGATGAGGTCGCTAAACTTTCTTTTATTGGAATTGCTAGCGATCATTACGTAGCAGTTGTTTGAAAACCTTGCATTTAGTTTTGTGTTCCTGTCTAGAAAGAACTGATGTAAACACGAACACCGATATTTGCGTTTGTCGGAGGCAAATTTTCGCGAATGTGGATTTCATCGGCATTGGGACTGATTTGTCCGTAGCAACCTTTCCGGCGTTCAGTCATATACCCTTCGAATCCTTTCCATGCGAGCCAACGTTTCACGGCTCTATTAGTTCTCACACTGTACTTAGTCAACGAGTTCGAGTACAACCTGCAGTCGTTATATATAGTTTTGTAGGTAATGATGGAAATTAGCAATGCAAACAATAAACCAGTTCAACGCTTCCTCGGTTAGTTTTTGCGGTCCGTTGAAAAATCCGCAAAGTTAGTGAAAGTTTCAGTATGGGGACGTTCGATTGTAGCCTGCGTAGAGATATGTCCCATTTCCTTTGGTTTCTTTGTCACATTTCCTTGTTGAGAGACGTCTAAACGCAAGCTACGGTAATCATATGGTGACTTAGAAACTAAGAGCACGCGATCAGAGCTTTCATGTTTTTTCGGACTGTGGCTAAGTGGCCGGCTGCCAAGTCTAGGTGAACCGTAACCAAATACAACATCTATATTGCTTGGCGACCCTAACCGACCCTAGTCTCGCTCCATCTACTCTTAAGAGCAAATCTAGAGATGTGAGAAAATCGAGATAAATGCAGAACAGACTGTCGCGGTCATTTTGAGTGCTACAATAGATAGACAAGTTTGTTTATCTTTTCTTTGAATGATAACGAAAGAGTACTACCATCTGATCACAACATTTTTGTTGCACGTGAGCAAATTAACTAACACCAGCGTGTAACACCAACCTACGGATTTGATAACGGCAGACCTGAAAATTCAAATGATCCATCATAATAATAACAAGTGGTCAGTTCTCATCTATTTGGTTGCCACCCAACGCCCCTTATATTTGAAACCAAGATGGCCGACCACAACGCGATGACGGCAGGAGCTATAGACATTATCGACGTTTTTCCGTTTTTTCCGGCAAAATAGGGGACTGCAGTCTCTGCAGTCTACGTTCTGGACGCCTGGAACAGGGCTGGCTATAAAATAAAAGTTAATAAATTTGCTTCATGTGTTGCGATATATCACTGTACATGGATCGATGCTAAATAAGAACTGTATTACCTTACCTACTACGGAATATTGTCAGAAGTGGCATTATTTTAAGCGATTCGACGGATTTTTCGTTCGCCGTTGAGTGCAAACCCGGCCGGGCATAAGTGCTATTTCAGACTTTTTACTCTTAAATATTAATCTTCATTCTTTTGAACATATAATATTTTTTTAATTTTTTCTTTTAAATAATCTTGTGGGGGCAGCTTGGCCGAGCGGTTAGAGCGCAAACATGGACGTTCCCACACATGGACGTTTCACATTATATCACTCCTGGAAACAATAAAGTATCTCACCTGAGAGTACATAGACTTTCTCAAAGTCCTTCGCTTCTAATTTCCTGTTCTGGTATCTCCCTCTTCTACTCATCTCCGGTAGCTCTCGGCTAAATTTACATTGTTTTGGTTTTGATCTCAACCAATCACAACGCACGATACCTTTATCCAGAAATGGATTTTTCCGGACTGCTTGACATTGAAGCCATCTGGAACCCTGAACTACTTTCGTCTTATGGAAGTGCGCTGATTGGCTGTAATTTAAATTGGAAATTTAGGGCGCGCTTGGCTGGGCTTTCATTGTGACCGGAGTGTAAATCTACTAGGTTTTCCGTTCCTTGAACGACTATCCTGCTCTACTCTCTCGCCGAAGATCCTTAGGCATCAACCTTGTTAAACTAAAGAAAATGATATGTGGCAAGGAGTTTTGGCTGAGTCTGGCGTGTTTTGTCATCGGAGGAATACTCACAGTCATACTGACAAAAATGTTAGAGAGGAAAAGAGATCAGAATAACGAAGAACAGGGTGAAAGGCGAATTCTCATTCCTGTACAAGAGGTTGGTGACGACGAAAGAGAAGCGGAAAGAGTTCTACCGGCCCTTACAACCAACATCAGTACAAAGTTTCCACAAGAACAAGATGAATTTTAAGGTGCTGCTGAGAACTATTATCGTTTTTATTTCTTTATTAATATATACATTTTTTTCTGAAAACGGTAGCTTTGTGGCGACAAAGTGATCAGTCATGCAGAATACAGCAAAACTATTTGCATTCTATCATGTAACATTCCATTCAGTATTTTAACATTTTTTTCTGCGGCAAAAGCCAACGGGAGAGAGGGAGATACCAGAACAGGAAATGAGAAGCGAAGGACTTTGAGAAAGTCTGTACTCTCACGTGAGACTAGACACTTTACCAGGAGTGATTTAATGTGGAACGTCTATGTGTCGGAATTAGTTAGAAAGGTCTCAACATGATTATATTTTCTAAGGCAACTTAAAAAATCGCATGTTCCTTTCATCACACATCACATCTATTCGCCCTATTTTGGAGAACGACAGTCCAGTTTTTCATCGCGCTCGAGCCAAGTTATCTGTGCGAAGACCAAGAAAGACTGCAAAAACGCGCTCTGAAGATTATTTAATTTACCCTGAGCTATCATATGCTAAAACTTTAAAGCTGTCCGGACTTTCAATTCCCCTGTATGAGAGAGGATATTAGTTATTATTTCTGTAATTGGAAAGTTTCTTTTTACTGATAACAAGTACTGATAGGTGGTTTCGGAAAAATGATCCTTCGGTATATTTCGCCCTATTGTCGCAAATTATCATGAACTGACTGACCTGAGACAAACTATTGGTGCATACAATAAATGACCTCTTATCATTAAACAATCACTGGACGCATTCAAGACGATCATAACACAGAAAGTTCCTTGAAACATGATAACAACACCTAACAAATGATAACCAAAAAATCATGGAGAGTTTTAGTATAATGAGAATTGACTTTCAGCACTAATTTCTTCTTTCTATTTTCTTCAGCAGCGGGGCCACTCTAACCAGAAGATGCCTGAGTCCTTCAGTTTAAGCCTTAGTTTATTTTTGCACAAGACTGATTGCTTTGTGACATGACACGAACTACGTGAGGAAGAGCATTTGGTAATCATACGACTAGTAACCAGTCTTCAATTGGACTGACCTCAGTGTTGCAGTTAGTTTAGACTGACACTTGACTAAAACTGCCACGGTTGTGAAAATGCAAACATTGCACCTCTAGATGTTAGTAATTCCCTGATTTTTTTATGCTATGGCTCAGTTTAGCTAATTTTTGCTATACCTATGTCTATCGAAGCTATCCTAGAAGACACGATTAGAGAAGCGAATCGCATAGTTCGGGACTCGTTGCCGTTACGAAGCTTGTAGAGGAAATACGTGTACTGCATTTTAAAGCTATTAGGCTAACAAAACCTTTTAGTCCATTGTTGACTATTTGTACCCAAAGATTAGATTGGCAGTATGCAAAGCCTTTTGTTTGTTTGTTTGTTTTTGTTTGTTTGTTTTTGTTTTTTTTCATGTACTTTGTAGATTTATCTCATGACCCCAGACACTCACGAGTAAAGTATGCTTTAATATTCAAATATGACATTATCGGACTGCCTAATTGGGTGTTAAATCTGATAATCCCGATTAGTTTAACACTTAATCTGTAACAACAGTGGAGCCCCGCTCTACGAAAACCCGCATATAACGAATAGTTTTCTCGATGATAAGCTCAAATCTTTTGTGTAAAATTAATCCACTTACGGACACCGGTTAATTCTGTCGGACAAGGGGCACTTTTAGAGCTGTGTCCAGAGCTCCAGAGTTACAAACTCTCGTATATCGTTAACTTTGCTTTACGAACACTGGGTATCTGAGCACTGTCTGTTTTTATTGCGTGTGTATTGTTAACATTGTATCCTGGTCAAATAATGAAAGATTTCTTCGAGTCAATACGATTTGATCCCTAAAAAACAGTGGTGTATATAGCGTGACTGAAACGTCGCGATGTATATGGGGAAAAAACTATTACGCAATCCAGATCACCCATACCCCCCTCCCCCCCCCTCCAACCTCCCCCTCAAAAGTGAAATGGTCGGCCCCAGGAGCCTGTAAACCTGAAGAAGGCTGTTATGGCCAGCCGAAATATTGTTATGAATGTTACGATCAGCTTTGCAGTAGTCTTTGGACTTCTCGTTTCTTCAGCCCCTGAGAGAATGTTCAATAAAACATAATGAAGAACAAGTGCCGTGTTGTAGTTGGAGTTCCTTTCCAATGCGTATCGGCAATTGCTGATCAGTCCGTCCTCTGTAGAATGTGAGTATATCTAAGCTAATACGGCTACATTCTGTCCATTTTGGTAATTATTAGACAAAAAAATATCGAGGACACCAAATACTGAACGAGGCAATTGGCAGAGTCCAATTTAGCTGGCAGAGGAACTTTTTCAATCCAATCATTTTTAAATCGGACAAACACGTTGTCCTCTTTAACTATTAATCATATAGTGGTCAGTTCATAACATAACTTAGCGTGAAGGAAATGAAAATGATACCTGATTTCATTAAAAGCGCTGACGCAACGGCAATGCGATACATGTATAAGGGCTCAATTACCGACATGACAGTTCATCAGTTGTTCATGATAGTCGAAGATAGTTTGAAGAATTTTACAGTGAATTTCAAAGTCTATGGTCTTTGACGTGTACTTTGATTGATGAAACTGTGCCTTAACCTGTCTGTCACTCCCTACCGAAAAATTTTACAGTATTTTAGAGAAAGCCGCTACGTCAGTCAAGCTGAATTAATGTCATGCTTAGTGTAGATTTCTCAATTAGGGGAATCCCCCGTTAACTCAGCCATATAGGCCCTGTTAGTTTCGGTTAATATTACAGGATGCACAATGAATGAAATTTGAATTCCCTCGGGCCAAGTAGATTTAACATATTAAAGTTTTTGCGGCACACGTAGAAGTAAGGCTGATTTTACAGTTGGGAATGTGTGTGGCTGTATTGAACGTACTGGAACAGTCGTTGCTTTTACCGGAGGCCGGATAATAATGATAGCATGTGATAGTTTTGTCGTTTTTCGGGCCTTTATGGAATGTTTCTCTGAAAACTATTAACGGCAACGTTTGGTAAATCAGTAATTTTTCCGAACCCAGTCGGAATGTTTATGAAGCATCTTTTCCACAAAATTCGTTAATAGCTCGTAGACAAATACTTTACCGACGATTTTAATGAATGAAATCTCATTAAAATTCAAATTCCAAAATTCAAAAAATTCATTAAAATTCAAATTCCAAAATTCCAAAAATGCAATTCAAAAGACTTGACCCTTTTGCCCTTATGGAACAACATTAAGTCACGATGATTAACCTGACTGCAACGAATACAGCTGCAATACTCCGGCGCGGCCCCAGCTACACTGCGTGTTCTCCTCTCTTGCCGAAGCTCCTTGGGCATTATCTCGTGAAACTACAGAAAATGTTTTTTGGCAAAGAATTTTGGCAAAGTCTGGCGTGTTTTGTCATCGGTGGGATAATCACAGTCATATTGATAAAAATGTTGGAGAGGCAAAGAGATCAAAATAAGGAAGAACAAGGTGACAGACGAATTCTCATTCCTGCACAAGAGGTTGGTGACGACGAAGAAGAAGTGGAAAGAGTTGTACCGGCCCTTACAACCAACATTAGAAAGTTTCCACAAGAGCAAGATGAATTTTAAGGTACTGCTGAGAACCATTATATTTCATTTCTCGTTATTTTTTTTCCTGATAAATTCAGTCAACCATAAATAGTGATGAAAAACCCCAATCAGTAGCGCTGTTTCTGATGAAGAAAGTGCACTCAGTAGGTTAGGAATGAAAACTTATTACTAAGAGTCACAGGCGGACCATCCGAACGGGCATTTTTCTCGAGCGCGAAGCGCGAGTGGGAGATATTTTTATGTTCCACGGCAAAACTGGAGTGGCATCTAACCGGAACCGGAAATAACAAGCGAAGGACTTTGAGAAAGTCTATGTACTTGAGAGTACATAGACTTTCTCAAAGTCCTTCGCTTCTTATTTCCAGATCGGCCAATTTGTTTCCAGCAGTGATTTAAAGTCTTTAAAGTGGAATGTCCACGTGTCGGAATTAGTAAGAAAGGTCTCAAAATGATTATATTTTCTAAGACAACTTAAAAAAAATCGCATTTTGCTTCAAGAGGGTTAATTCTATTTTACATCACATGTATTTGCTCCATTTTGGAGTACGGCAGTCCAGTTTTTGACGCGCTCGAGGCAAGTTATCTAAGGGAAGACCTAGAAAGACTGCAAATAAAACGCGCTCTGAAGAGTATTTACCCTCAGTGAGCTATCATATGCTAAGGCTTTTGTTCTGAAATATTCACATTACGAAAGTAATGGGAATGTGATATATCACAGCTCAACATTTAAATAAGATCATTCAGTCGCAAATTATCATGAACATGACCTGAGACAAACTATTTGTGCATGCAATAAATGACCTCTTATCATTAAACAATCGCTGGCCGCTTTTCAGACAATCATAACAAAGAAAGTTCCTATAAAAAACATAATAACAACACCCAACCAATATGATAACTAATAACATCATGGAGAGTTTTAGTAGATTCAAAATTGACTTTCCACACTAATTTCTTATTTCTATTTTCTTCAACAGCGGTGCCACTGACCAGAAGATCCCTGAGTTCTTTAGTTTAAACCTTTGTTTATTTTTGAACAAGATTGCTTTGTGACATTTGGTATACAACTTACTGGTGACCATTCTTCAGTTAAACTGAACTCAGTGTTGCAGTTAGTTTAGACACTTGACTAAAAAATGCTACAGTTGTGAAAATGCAAAAATTGCACTTGTTACTGTTAGAAATTCGCTGATTTTTTATGTTATGGCTCAGTTTCAGCTAATTTTTGCTGACCTAAGTCCTATCGAAGCTATCCTAGATGATATGATTGTAGAAGCGAATCGGATATTTAGGGACTTCCGCGAAGCTTGTACAGGAAATACGTGTACTGCATTTTAAAGTTATTAGGCTAACAAAAACCTTTTAGTTGTTGATTTTTTGTTCCTAAAGATTAGCGGACTGGCAGTATGCAAAGCTTTTTGGAAGAGATTTTTTTACTATTTCGACAACCGACTTGTCTCATGACCCCGGACACTCATAAGTAAATATAACATTATCGCACTGCCTAATTCGGTGTTAAATCTGATAATCCCGATACTTAACACTTAAGCTGTAATAACAGTGCTAGTGGAGCCCCGTTCTACGGACACCCGCTTAATACGCCGGGACACCCGTATGTAACGAATAGTTTTCTCGACGATAAGCTCAAATCTTTTCTGTAAAATTAACCAGCTTTATACGGACATCAGTTAATTCCGTCGCACAAGGGACCCTTTAAGAACTGTGTCCAGGGCCAGGGGCCCAGAATCACAAGCTCTCATCGTTAACTTTACGGACACTGGGTATCTGAGCACTGTCTATTTTTTTGTGTGTTTGTTGTAAGCATTGTATCCTGGTCAAATAATGAAGGATTCCTTCGAGTCAATACCATTTGATCACTAAAAAACAGTAGCGAATGAGCGTGACTTGTTTCGGATTTCTCGAGATGTTGATCAGTCCGCCTATCTTCCGGTGTTTGACCCTCATATTGTGGTCGTTTAATAAAGTTTTCTGCCTTCTATTACACAAGTTTCATTCCTCAGCCCGGGTTCCCTAGCTTTTTGCTTCCAGTCATTACTCCTTGGTATCTTTATATAGATAAAAAATGTGTCCGTGGCGTTCAGTTTTCTGAGAGCTCGCTTAATACGGAAACCCGCCGGATAATACGGACACTGTGACTTGTCCCCTTGTGCTGTCCGTATATATTAACCGGGTTCCACTGTTTCAGCGACCATAGCATGATATTTGGCAGTTAATCACTGAAAACAGTTATTAAAAGCTTTAAAACTATCTGACACTGTTTGAAAACAGGGGTCAATGGACCGCCACTTTTACGTTTTCCTTCCCTGATACTGAAATGTTTTCTTCAGTCAGTGCCATGTCCTCCTTAAGTCAGTGCCGAGGCGATAATACTAGTCATCCGCTTACAGACGGAACCACTATCGCCAGATGAAACTTCATCGCACGTTGTCTACGGCGATCGTTATGTAGTCCCATGGACTAAAAGGTGATGGTTTGGAGCCTGAGTTACGAGTTAAGGGTTTTTAGGCCCACACGATCCGAGTTAGGGGAAGTCACTCCCTTATTTTCAGCCTGACCCACGCAGACGTTCTTTTGTTGGCTCGTCACTCAATCCTCGCCAACGAGCGGTCGACACTCAATAACATGAATATTCGTCCCCCTATGATGTTTGGTTTAACCAGGCTGACTCTCGCGCTCTCCCTGACTGGAAAAAAAATACGCCTGATCGCAGGTTATCTTCGGTTGTTCTTCAATTTCTAGTGACTTTATTCCTCGTAAGGGGTTCGTAACAAATAACTCGAAGTGAAATGATTTCATTGTTCTTCATTCCTCTGGAGTTAGGCCTTACTTAGTTGTTCTACTTTATCTCCCTTTAGTAAGAATCAGACATATTTTAAACAATATTTTACACATAAGATATATATTTGCAGGGATTTGCGCCTTGGTGAGGCCTGCCTGAGACCAGGGACGTTTCGAGTATGTTATTGAACGACACTTGATACTGAAGTCGCTCTGCCGGTAACAGTGAACTGCTTCCGGCTTTGGAAGTGGGCTGTGATTCGCTAAATTAGACTTTGGAAGTGCGCTGTGCATGATTGGCTATAATTTAAATGTACTTGGCTGGGCTTTGATTGTGGCTGCAATTTAAATACAATAACAAGTTCTAGTTTCTTTCATTGCCTATCGTGTTCTACACCCTCGCCGAAGGTCCTTAGGCATGAACCTTGTAAAACTAAAGAAAATGTTTTTTTTGCCAAGGAGTTTTGGCGGAGTCGGGCGTGTTTAGTCATCGGACAAGACACGTCGCACACGCCAAGTTTGGACTTCGAGTGTTACTAAAAAGAGGAGAAAGCCTTGAGCAGCGGAAAGGAGAGAACATCGTCAAAGTCTTGGGGGAAAAAACTGACGTTAGGATGTGACTTTGGGTACTATGTTGTTATAAATAGAAGTAAGCTCCTCAATTAAATTATGTGTACAGGCGTTCTAGTCTTTCTAGTGGCAAACAGGAGGAAGAGAAGGCGATAAATCGCTAGAGTAGAACCCCTACCCCCTTTCAACACACGCTTTCTAGGGAGCCTGCTGATCAAGACAAAAGCGACTTTCCTGATCTTGCACGAATGTTCAGCCCGATATAATGTAATGTAAGTTAGCGCGTAAGTCTGACAAGGGGAATCCCTCAATTTGGGGCTCGGATGAAATGGGTAGTACGCCAATATAAACCGCCCGCTACTCGAGCAAATACTCTTTGAAATCTGTGAATTAATGAATCTTGTTTTCCCCTCAAGATTGGCAAAAGGATTGTTTTAGCTTTCTCTCGGGACGACTGTTGTTTTAATTTTTATTTGTTTTTTTTTTTGGGGGGGGGGAGGGAAGTTAACAAGGAGTACTAAGAGACCGCAAGGAAATGTGAAAGTGGCGCGGGCTCCGTAAAACCGCTAAGGGCAATAGCTGCGGACGAACAATATCTACATATTTTTAACATGTAACACAATCGTATGACGGAATTTTACAGTTCATGATAGTGTGAATGGCCTTTGTTTAATGTACTTGAACGTTTGATCATTCAAGTACATTGAACAAAGGCCATTCACACTATCATGAACTGTAAAATTTCTCTGCGCAAGCCCTGTGGTTTAACTGGTCTGGACAAAATGATTTCAAGCCCTGCTGTCAAGACTCGACAACCCTGTACGGTCTTCACAAGCATTGTCAATGAATTATACAGTCAAACCTACATAACTACCTTATTCTCACTGTAAAATTGATGAGTATTGAATTTCGCAAAAAAAATTATGACCAATAATTTGCGAGTCTTAATTTCACGATTTTTAGGGAAAGGTAGAATGAGAGTGCATTAAATTTTGCAATTTTTTCCATTCTTTAAAGGTAACTTTGACCTCAGAACAAGAACTACAGGATTAACAATTTTATTGTAAACCACAGCAAACAAAGACAATTACAAACAAAACAAGCTAAACATAAAAAAACATAAAGTTTTCAACAGTCTAAATAGGTACCCACAAATAGTTACATAGTAAATATTTTCACTCTGAAAAACTTCATTCTTATAATGTTCTCCCATGCAACTGTTTTTGTCTCATCATGCAGTGTTCTAGCCTTGCATGCAGACGTTGTGTGATGAGATAAGAACGGCTGCGACAAGGAGAAGCACAATGGGGAAGCAGCGAAGGGAGAGAAACTTCTCTCTCTCCCCACCTCCCACCTCAAATTCAAAATCTCCTCTCTCCTAATCCCTAAAGAAGGTCTGATACCCAGGTTACAGCTGTAAGCAATGACCACCTTAAAATGGGGACAGAGGTGGGTCGCTGTTGTATGAAGTGGTAGCCTTTGTAGAGGTAGCCTGCAAGAGCAGATGCTTTCCTGGGCTTTTGTTTCACATTGCCTATGTCACTTTCATAAACAGTTGTGGCCCTTTCTTTCCACAGACATTTAAACAAGCTCAGTTTCATTTTATTTTTATCATAATGCATGGTTCAATTTGACCTGTTACAATCCCCCATCTGGGCAACCCCCAGGACAAGTCCAGCACTTTGGGCCCAGGGGTGGGGAATTGTTTGAAGCAGTCCTGTCCCGGGGCAGTGGGGTGGGGCAAATTAAAAGTAACTTCTCTTTGATTTTGTGACATGTGTTATTTCTTGCTCGGTTTGAGCGAAGCTAAGGAACTGAAGACTACTTATTTTCAAGGCAAAATGCATGAATTCGTCGGAGAGTGGATGGAGAGGAATAACCTATCAAAATTAAAGCCTGTATTTGAAGGTATGTTTTAAAATTTCAATCAAATGAGCATATGGACTTTTTCTGCAAAAGAAATAGAGGATATTACATGGCCGCGCCAAGATACGAAATTTCTCTTCAAGTGTTGAAAAATATTTCACGACTGAGTGCAGTGAACGAGTGAAATATTTTTCAACACAAAAAGAGAACTTTTGTATCGAAGCGGCCATGTAATGTTCTATTTATTATATAAACACCAATGAAATACCAAAGCATTTCACTTTAATAGTTTTTTGGTGTGAAAGGCACGATTTATCATGTAGCCATAGCAACGGTGATATTTTCACATGTGAAGCCTAACATGTTATTTTCACATATAAAGATATCAAGTTTTCGCACAAAAGCTCACCTGGTATTTCATTGTTGTTTATATAATAAATAGAAATATTTCTTCAGCCTAGCTTGATGAAAAGACAACCTAATTAGACTGTATATGAAAACGGATACAAAGCTTTTAATATATTTTGATAAACAGAGATTCAATCCAGTATTCTTATGAAGTGTTCTATCAAGGAGGAACTTTAATAGGAGTTTTTTCTTCGTTTTCGTTTTCAAATGTATTGTTCATGTTTTAACTACATTTTACATGTATTTTCCTTCTCTCAATAAACTCTAGAATACATTTATACACTGATTCATAAAACCTCTGCAAACGTCTGGTTTTGCTATTGCACAAAAATCAATATTGTTCTCAAAAAGATGTACCCAAAAAACGTATATGAGGTCGATCAGGAGCTCGGGGGTGGGGATTTGTCTCCTCCTGCGTACCTGGGGGCGGGAAATAGAACACCACGAGAGAAAAAAATGGCAAATCCCAGGGGATATGCCCGGGAGGCATGGTAACAGGTCTAATAATATACATGAAAAAATTTCTCGATTGTGATTGGCTAAGAGAAATGCAGTTTTTTGGTAACACAGTGCAGAAAAAAGGTAATTGAGTGCAGAAAAAAGGTAATTTAGTGCAGAAAAGAGGTAACAAACGAGGCATTCCGATTGGTTAATAAACAAAGGAACTCACTGAGAGCCAATCAAGTGCGCCATCTGACGCCATCTGAATGGCGCAAAATTTGGATCCGCTCTTGACCAGTTTCGAGCAAAAACCGCAATGGCTGGCGTTTGTAGCAGATTTGCTTTTGCGACCGCAACAACTATAGAGGACATGAAAAACTGCTCCAAAAACGAAAACACTGCAAAAAGCACCGATTTTTGGCTCTCTGTTTGGAAGAAGTGGTGCTTAGAGAAGAAAATTACAGATGAAATAGAAAATTATGAGCCGGCTGAGCTTAACACTTTGCTCGAGCATTTCTACGCCGAAGTAAAAAATAAACAAGGTGAAGATTATGAACCAGAAAGCCTCAAAGTAATGATGGCATCGCTTGACAGACACTTAAAGAACAAAGGCTACACCTTGTCCATTGTACGTGACCGAGAATTTAGTTCGTCCAAACAGGTGTTGGAAGGCAAAGCGAAACAGCTTCGCTTGGCTGGCCGTGGTAAGCGCCCAAAGAAAGCTCGACAAGTATCAGAGGAGGAAGAAGAAATTCTCTGGAAGAGCGGAAAACTCGGAGGTAATAACCCAGAATCTTTAATTCAAACAATGTGGTGGCTCCTTACCCAACACTTTGGTCTTCGAGGAAGGCAAGAACACCACGGAATGAGACTGGAGGATTTCAGAATCATGAACGGTGACGACGGCATCGAATTTGTTGAGTTTGCAGAGGGGCCTACGAAAACAAGACCTGGAGGTTTGAGTGCAAAGCCAAGATAGTTCCAGCCCAAAATGTTTCAGACCGGGGAAGGAAAATGTCCAGTTGCTTTATTTCGTCAGTACATTAGCCGTAGACCTTCCAATCTGAGGACGAGTGGTCCATTTTATCTCTCGATAAAGTACAACAGACGAGCCGACGACGAAATTTGGTACAAGGTACAGCCCATGGGAGAAAATAAAATCAACTCCATGATGAAGAGCATCATCTCCGGAACCAGCTTTGAGACATCTGAGAAGCGGTTTTCCAATCACAGTGCTCGTAAAACAGTAGTCAGCAAAATGAAAAAGGCGAATCTCGAAAGGTCGGCAATTGCAAAAGTCACTGGTCACAGAAATATCCAATCTTTAGATGACTATGATGAAGCAGACGAAGACGAACAGCGACAGCTTTCGTGGGCCATCTCACGAAAGAACAGCACACCGAAGCCAGCGGGTAATACACCTGGTCCTTGTACTTCAAGTGCAGTAATTCCTCATAAGATGAGTTCACAAGCGCAGAATGTAATGAATTCCTTCACCAACTGCAATGTAACATTCAACCTCAACAACAAGACTTCGCCTACCATTCGCCCTTACAAACGGCGATTGCGTTTCATCGAAAGTGACTCCGATACAGATTGAACGATTTCATGAACTGTTTAGCCCGTTTCTGCGGCTTGTAAACTTTAAAAACGTCGAGAAAAATGTTGTTTTGACTGCAGTGTGATGATATTTGCAGCACTTGAATAAATTATTTTTGCACGTGGTTTACGTGATTTTAAAGCTATCTCGCATTTTTTTCATGAATATTATTAATAAGTAATCACATGATTTTTCTCGTGCAATTTGGAATAAATAAACAAATTGCACTCGCCCTACGGGCTCGTGCAATTTTGTTAGCCTTTGAAAAAATTTACTTGTGCTTATTTATTCCAAATTGCACGAGAAAAATCATATGATTACCTGTACAAATTGAACCACGCATAAATAATTAAATTAACTAAAAACAAAGGCAAAGAACTTACCATGAAGCGCTCGACCGACTTTGGGCGAATTTGTACACGGTCCATTTTATGCATTTTAAGAATCACCAACCTAATCTTCTGATCCTCTCCTCTTCCTCTTCAGAGCTTCTCGTAAACTTGTCCTTTTGAAAACCAGTGACTCTTGTAGCGCCTCGCGGTAGCAACTGTTTCCGACATTCCTTCGAAATTAAGCATCTTTCAAGTCCCCAAGGACACTTCTCGTACCAGTTGCGTCTTATTCTTACTTATAAACATCTCCTGCAGGGGCTCCTACCAGCTCAATCCCGTCCGAAATATAAAGCTGGCGTGCACAGTTTCAAAACTGAGCGCCATGTTGGACAAGAAAACAATTTCAACCTTGTTCCCAGGGTCCTTTCTCTCTGCCCCTAAACCCTGGGAACGGGTGACGAAACTCTGGGCCCGGTTCCTCCTCTCCCTCAGCGATGATAACACTTAGATAACACACAATGTTCACAATGTTACTCTAAGCAAGGCATAGGAAGGTAAATACAAAAATGGAAAAAAAAATTTAATCCTGGATTAGCGCCCATTGGCCTTTCAGGAACCGGGGCCAGCTGATCAATACAGCGCATGAACAGCGCACGGTGCCTGAGATCATGCCCTCTCCCTTCTCCCTATTATCCCTTTATGTCAGTCTCAAAGAAGCAAAGAAGCAAAAAATAATAATAATAATAATAATAATAATAACAAAATAACGCCTGATCTCAGGTTAAGCGCACGTAAGCATCATTCGCTCTTGACATAAGTAAGCAGCAATGTCCAGACATAAAGCTGCGAAATTCGCGCAGCTACCTTCTGTACTAGTCCTAAGTAAGATAAGAGACTACTCCAAGTCAAAATAAAGCTGTTCTTAGTGGATAAACGATTGCTTTTGTTGACGTTTATTTTTACATGCGTAAATGATTCACATTTTTGTTTCTTTTTTTGGATACTGTCTCGATCCTCCCCGATTCCCGAGGGGAGGAGCGCGGGCTCATTTTCCGAACAGCGGCTGGAAATCGAACCAAATGGATTTCGGGGTTTACCTCGGTCTAAGAACCTGTGAACTTTTTCTTTGTTTTGTACCTTTTGTTTTTCTAGGTTTTATTGTGTTGACTTATTTGTTTTCTTTGTTTTACGTCACCGGTGAGTTTAACAGGTTCTTACACCGAGGATGAGCCGGATATCGTGATCGATATTTTGACCTAAAGTGTAGAAATGCGCACAAACTTCAGAGCTAAGACGCAGTTCGCTAAATCTTTGCTAGTCCTTAAACTGCTGACCAAATTCCAGATCCTGTCACATACGAACTTAATCCCTAGAACACCCTAACATTAATACCATTCACATTAAAATATCTTTTGATTACACACTTTTATAAACGGACCTCCCAACGAAAAAATTTACACTTTTTATTAGCATTTGCACCAGAAGTCACGTGGTTCTCCCGTGACTAAAAGAGCATGCAAAGAAAGCTCTTCCCTGATTAGGTCCCGGATTAATGACCGCTCTGCGCAGAGTACGACGCCAACAGAGACACAGGGGTGGGGTAATACCACCTCCATTGATGCAAGCCATAGGGGTAGTAACGAGGGAGTTTATGTTCTCATAAAGGAGTGGGTTGAAAGAAAGAAATTTTCCTACTGAAGTAGTTCATGGTTTGTTCAAGTACATTGAACTGGGGTCGGAGTGGTTGCAACAGTCGTTGCTTTTGCCATTGGTTTGTTTATAGCTGTTATTCCAATGTAATTCGAAGCGTTCGAAGCTACTGTTATAGATTTATCGTTTTTCAGTCCTTCTACCGAATGTTCTATCTTTGGTTAAGGTTTGGTTTGTTGGTAACCTGAACAGGGGCGTGTTTAAATTCTGAGGTTCAATATTTGATGCCTTGCATGGTTGGTTGCATGCAGTGTAATCCTTTTGTCCCATTCCAGGTAATACTCGCTGATTATGGCTTCCCAAAGGTGTATGCTGATGGTAGCTCAGTGTCTGTTTAGCAAGATCTCTTTTCACAAGAAACCCTTGTGTTGAGCAGCTCTACAGTTCACTCTTAAACAAACCATTACAGTATCCTCTTGCTCTTTTTTTCAGACTTGATAAGCACGTGGCAGGAGTTATAAGGGACTTGGAAGTGTTTTTGTGTGTGGCACAGACCCCATCGCAATTCCCAACAGGAATGCCTTCACTAACAGAACTTACCCATGCTCTCCTTTTACTTTGGCTATTTGCTTTCGTTGGTATTTGTTTCGTCAGTAAAACTTATGAACGGTTTAACGTGATGATTTTTAAATCTATTTCCAGGAATCTGGACAGATCTGGGCTCTTTCATCTCGCTTTTCACAGTAAGCTTCTGTCTTGTGCCATTTCCGCATTGATTCTGTGCTTGAAAGTCACCAACTGTTTAAACTTTGTTTACACTTGTTTCATCGGTACAGTTTTTAGACGGTCCAATGTGATGCTTGTTTTGAGGGGATTGCATGTCTTCAAAATCAAGCGGGTGTTACGAAAACTAAGACCCTCGAAAACTAAGACCTAAGACCTAAGACCCGTCTTAGTTTGTCACGGAGTTTTGTGTTACTTTTCGCGCGTGACATTTTTTGACCTTAGATGTAGCCGATCACGTTTCGTACACGTGATCATGTGACACTTTGAACGGAGTAGTTTTTCGATTTAGGGAATTGTAATTTTGTGGAAGGCACCTGTATCGGTTTAGAAGCCCGTTACTTTTGTGGAACCCTATCGTTTTTGGCAAGTGTATCGGAATAGAAGCCCGTTACTGTAGAGATCTATTGGTTTCGAATAAAATCTATCACATTTGGTCCCAAGAGCCGGATTTGGAGTCAGAACTAGCTGAATTATGCCTGGAAAACTAGCGAAGAACCTGAAAATACGTGCGGCGCATCGCTTACACGCAAGGAAAATTCTTTCATCAGTCGATGAACTTCTCATGCATTACGATGGGTCTGATACCACTAAAGACAAGATAAAACGGATAACTATTACGCTCAATGAAAAATCAGCGACCTTAAAGGCCTTGGACGAATCGATTTTGGCCGCAATCGACGAAGGAAATTTAGAACCGGAGATAGAGGAATCTGAAGAGTTTCGCGCGCGAATTCAT